GGGTTGTACCAACAGACCCACTTCTCCTAAATGGCCATTCAGGGGAATTTTCTCTAAGAAACAGTTCCAAGTTGATTATTTTCTCAAAAGGATATAAATACTTGTAATTCTGAAATTCTCTCTCAAATATTTCAGAAGGAAAGGCTGACAAATTTGGACCAATACAACCAGTTACACACACAAAACACTAATTATATGAAATATTAAACTTAGTCTTCTTGCACTATCCCAGGAGTGGAGTTAAACCACTGAGCAGAGGATTTGCAGACAGTGTTGAATAATTTATATTATCCACATAACACAAATTAGGCTGATAGAAAATAAGTTCATGCCTATTGTTTTCTACTTAACCTCTGAAATGTTCAGACTTTAAAAAGGTCACAACAAACAGAAGAAACAATTGAGCGGTTTCCAGGAGAGAAGAAACAATTGTGTAGTTTCTGGGAATATCTTCTCTCTTGTATTAAAATACCAGCCTTCCAACTAACAAAGAAAAGCTTGAGGAAGGAAGACCTTGCAGCAAAACCTCTCTTTAAACACAAGGGGGAAATCTCCTGAGGATTGCTCTGGAAACCAGAAATCTCTTCCAGGTGGTTCAGTTCGCTGCTTAAAACACCATTTGGGATTTCCACATCCCATCTTTCCCAATGACTCTGTCTTCCCTGTTTTCAGCATAACAAATTTTCAGGGTGCCCATGCTGCTTTCTAGGGTTAATTTTACCCCTAGGTTATTTATGCTATTATTTACATATTTATACTATTATTTATGTTATATTATTATTTATGTTGGCCAGATTAACATGTAAAGCTGTGTCAGAAGGGAGAGGGAAAATCTGTGAGACACAGCTCCTACTTCTGTGGGAATGAAGAGACTTTTCCCACAGAAGGGAGTGCTGCTTTCATGCCAAAAAAATAAAAGCATATTAAGCTCTTTACGCAACATTTATCCCACAGCAGAGAGTTTTATCTTTCCCAAATTTAACATGAGAATAATGTTACATACCCAAATGTGGTCTGCAGAGCACAAATAGTCTGAAGACTCAAAGTCCAAATCTCACATGACCCTGAGCCATCCCAAAAAGCATTTAGTAGGATACAGAACTGGAATGTGATGGTAAAAACCTCAGCTTGAGTGGTTGGAAAAGGCCAGGCTGAGGAACTCCTATAGCCTGGTGCTGTAGGTCAGGAATGGGGCTTCCCACCTCTGCTCCTTCACTGATTTATAAGGGAAAGGACCACACCAGAGGGACCCCTCCTCAATGTTTCTCATCCTTGGGAGAGCACCAAACACCTCCTTGATACTGGGATTTTTACTCTTCCAAGGAAAACTCAGCTTTTACCCAGGAGGCAGCCAACCTGCTCAAGAAACCAAATTTTTCCCAATTCCAATTTTTCAGTGTCTCAAGAACTGGAGTCCTGCCAGGCAGCCAAACTGAAGTGTGGCTGGGCAGTGTGGGCACAGTAACAATTCCTCTTTCCAGTGAAGAAAATGGGAAAAAGATCTCAGTTCATAATTAGTAGTTACAATAAGATTCATCCTCTCCAGAGCCCAAATCGGTTCAGAAGGTAGGACTGTCTGCTGAAAATTAGGAAAGACTTCACTGAGGTTGGAGTGATGATGGCATTGGGAGAGAGGGAGGACCCAGGTCAACAGCACTCCTACCCTATCAGTGATAACACTGGAACAAACTCCCTAGAAATCCTAAAATTGAACTATTGATCCCAGTAAACACTACACAGCTCAGTATAAAAAAAATGAAATAAACTGAATAGTTCATCTGAGATCCTACAGTCACTCCAGATCAAACAGGACAAATTCACCCCAGTCACGCAGCCCAGCAAGGGAGGCAAACACACATCAGTGGGTTCCACGTGAGCTCCAAGTGTGTGCCCAGGATCTGGGCTCTGTGGAGCTCCTGCAGACAGACACTCATCCTCATTTCTCCTGGGTCTGTCTACTGGTGTCCAGGTTATTTGCCTTCTGATTTGGAAATGAGGATGAGCTTTCACAGCAGCTGCTTTCACTGTGTGGTCACTGGGACCCAGAGAGATGAAAACACCTTCCCATGATGGAGTGACCACTGTGAATTCCCAAGTACCAGAAAGGGAAAGGGAGAAGTCAGATGGAGAGTGTGTCCAAATAATCAAAAAATAACACTCTTCAGGTAAAGTCCTTTACAAAGAACAAGAGTGACCAGGACAGAACTTGTCCAGGACCGAGGGGAACAATAAATTAGGGAAGCCTGAACAGGCTGACATAATCAGGACAAAAGAAGTTGAAGTCAGGAACACTTTAAGAGTGGGTGAAATGAAATATAAATCATGTTTCTTTACCAAAATATATTAACAAACCTTTACCAGAACAGGCCATATGTCTGATTCATGCTTCAGCAGCCAAAAACCAATCCGCTTGAAGTCTGTTTTAAATAAGGAATGGGAAACACCCAACTTTCTTTTGTCAGCCACTACACTCAGCTCCATTGTTTTCCAGAAGTGATTTACTAGACTGGAATTAGTAAGAAAATCCACCTCCTCTGTTTCCTTAAGGAAACCCATATTAGTAAGGCTGGGGCTGCAATCCTATTCTTTACTGCCCAGTTCTGTGAGTGCAGGTGGCCACACTTCCCTCTTGCAGGCACTCGAAGCACTGAGCTCAAGTTACTCCCATCTCCCAGGATGCCCACTGGACATGGTCTCAGAAAAACACATTTAAGTGCTTTCAACTTGAAGCTGAAAGACTTTTAAGCCTTCCTGGCTGATAAATACTACTCATCAACATGCAACTTCCTGTTCAGTGCTGATTCTGCCACAAAAGTCAACCCACCTTAAGGAAAAAAAAAATCCAGACAAAATCCCACCTTGCATCCTCTTAGCTCCTAAAATTATCCTGCACTTACTTCCTTGACATCTTGTTACATAGCGGACTTTGAGAACAGCTGCCATTATGTTCTCAAAGCAAACAGCATTTCAGTCAGCAGAGCAGGAGCAGGGAAGGGGTTTTCATCTCCCTGGGTCCCAGTGACCACACAGTGAAAGCAGCTCCTGTGAAAGCTCATCACTATTTCCAAACCAGAAGGCAGTCCCTCAAGGTAAAAGGCAAATAACCTGGAAATATGTTGTGCATAGGCAAAATTCATGGGCTGGGGAAGGGCAAGGGGAGCATAAAGGGAAAAACACAAGCACAAATTCACCACTTCAGAGGCAGCTGGAGCAGCTGCCCCGACCTCAGCTTGGCAGGGAATGAGAAAACATTGAGGGCAAAAAGAAGTCCTCACAGTGCCAGCAGAAGTGATTTTTGTTTGTTTTTTGCAAACTCCATCTTTCCTTCAAACCCAGTGGGGATTTGAAGACCTTCTCTTTGCATGGGAGTTGTTATCTCTCACAGACATTTCACCTTCCTGTCCCACATGTCAGCACAACGCAAGCCTAAGAGTGATGGACACCCTTGCGCGTGCCAGGGACAAAGGCACACAAAGAGAGGAGACAGCTGTGGGAACTAAACAATGACTTGAAAACTAAAGCAAACCTTTTGACAGGTTCTGAGCACCAGGCTGTCAGCCAAAAAAGCAGCCTTGAGGTTTCCCTGAGGAAATATGCTGTTCTGCAGATGTGAAGGGTGGTCAGTCTTCTTTCCACTTGACCCCAGCTCTGCCAGGAGCTCCTGGGCCAGGCCAGCAGTCCCTCTGTTCTTTGTGTAAGGTAAAAGTTGCTCTCCTGCCTGGGATTTGCACATGGAAAAGTGACCTGGCTGATCTCAGAGTGCCAAATTCTTAGACTCACAGAATAGTTTGGGTTGGAAAGGAGCTTTAAAGGCCATTTAAACCCCCCTGCAATCATCAGGGCCATCAACTAGACCAGGTTGTTCAGACCCTATCCAGCCTGACATCGAATGTTTCCAGGGATGGGCATCCACCACCTCTTTGGGCAACCTTTTACCACTCTCATTGCCTTATATATATATAAATATATATATAGTCTAAATTGATCCTCTTGTAGTTTAAAACCATTCCCCCTTGTTCTATTGTGACGAATTCCCAGGAGAAGACACTACAAGTCCCTGTCACTCACAGTGAGGGATGGCCAGCATCCAGTAGGAAGTTCTCCAGAAGTCACCAGTAGCAATCATTTGTTTCCCTGGAAAAAAAAAAAAAAAAGAAGTCAAGAGAGGGAGTTTATGTTGCCATCTCAAAAACCTCTGCAAAATACTGTATATTCTATTCTGCCAAGTGTAGAGCTCAGACAAGCAATAAAATGTTGCCTTTCATGGGTAGTGCAAGATCTGGGACACAATCCCAAGACACTCAGCTCCTCCAGGAGGATAACACATCCTTTTAACTACAGCCAAGTTCCTCACTCTCACATCTCTTAAGAAGAAAAGTGCAAGTTGATGCCATGAGAAACACAAATTGCAGTTTCCCAATTCATCTCAGAAGTCCATATGTCCTAAAGGATACACTGGGACACTATGGCCTTCCCCAAAGGAATTATTCATGCACTCAGAGCTCATGTGTGATGCTTCTCTCATGGACTTATAAAAGCTCATAATGTGCTACAAACAAAAGAAATCATGAGGGCTGATCTTCAAAGTTGCTTTATTTGGCTTCTTTTCAGCAAGGGAAATATAGAAAACAAGACAATATATCAGCAGAGCATGGAACTTCAGATAAAGAGTAATGAAGCAAAGAACATGACGCCAACAATACTCGTAAAAATATGAAATGCACTGTTTTTTGATTTACTGAAGTTATTTCCAAATCTGAAATAAACCTCAGCTGCTTCTGTAAATTTTCCTCACAAGTTTTGTTCAATTTTTTTTTTAAGACAAAAAAAAATACCCCAAAACACCCTTAAAAAAAGCCCCAAAGTCCCACTTTTTCTACAGAAAGGAAGCAAAATACAAACCAATTCTACAAAAAAGGCCCAAATTGCAATGAAACATTTCTGGAACCCCAAACAAGTAGGTTAAAAAAAAAAAAAAAAAAAAAAAAGACCAGTTGATGTATTGGCTGGAAAACATTTTTTTATTAGAAAAAGTAAAATATATAAATAAATAATCCACGTTGTACTTACAATAGTAGAGCAAATGTCATCCCTCACATCTTCACTAATACACTGAGACACACACACACACAAAGTTTTATCACTGCTCTGGAAACAACAGAACACTGGTTCTAACACTGAGTCCTAGGTCCTGAATCTCCTAAATCCTCTCTGTAGGTGTTTCAGATTGACAGTCTGTACTCTTGGTAAACATATGACATAAAAAGCACAAGACAAAAGGCACTTAGGAAGTCCAACACACTCGGAGAGATGGAGTATTTCAGATGCACAAACAAATGCTGATCAAACCCAAAAGATGGTACTGGTAGTGATCCCAATCCAGTGACATTCAGACAGAAGGAAAACCTTAAACATTTAACTCCTCGGCTGAACAAAAATCACCAGAGGACCCCCTAAAGTCCTTCCATCTATCCTGTCAGTAAAATGGGCCATTAAATGTACAACCCAAGGTAGGCTTGGCTTTGGCAACCCTCACCCTGTGAAGGTGCTCAGGGGCTGTCAGGGTTTAACCCCAGGCAGCAACTAATCCCTACAGAGCTGCTTTCACAGCCCCCTGGGAGGGATGGGAGAATCAGGAGAGTTGCCCCATATTGCCTTCTGCACAGAAAATGAACTCTATCCCAACTAAAACAAGCACAGGGGAGCTCAGGAAACTGGAACTTTAAGCCTGGAAATGGCCAGATCAGCAGGCCTGGGCAGGCACTGAGGACCAGCTTAGGGTGGTGGGGGACAGAGGAGCTCTAACACAACCTGGGGCAGGAGCAGAATTAGGGGCCAGCTCATAAGAGTAGTGCAGTGCCTTTATCTGCCACCAAAATCGGGGCAAATCAGCAAATCCAGGTTCTGTAAGACCTCCTGCTGACATCATCCCACCCACAGCAGGGACACAGGCCAGCGAGCTGAGGGGTGACACCCCACACAGCAATGCCCAGCACAGAATAATGGCCTCTGGTGATTTATGTGGCTTCAAAAAGACACAGCACAAACGGATGGAGGCAGGGAAGAATGTTTTAACAGTGCACAAGGTGACCACCAGCACTATGGAGGAAGTTAGTCCACGGCTTTTGACAGCAAAACAAGGAGTAGCATTGGGTATTAACAGAGTTGTTTTGGAAAATAACCAGAGAGAGAATGACAGCAAAAAAGAAAGGAGGGGTGGAGATGACAATGCTTACACTACTGGGCTTTGTTTCCAACTCCTCCTCACTTATTTGAAAAAAACCACCAAAAACCCCAAAAATAAACTGAACCAAAAGAAACAAAAAACCCCCAAACCAAGAAGAAACCCCACCCCAGGATTAGAAAGGTCAAATAAAGTACAATACTTATATATTTATAAATATATATAAATGACATATAATTCTTCTTTCCCAACCGTGGCTGCTACTTTCTTTAACCTGTCACCTCCCTGGAGTCCTATTGCTCTTCCCCAGTAATTCTGACAAATTCAGTGTGGTTTGAGTTCCTGTGGCCTTGAGTCCTGTGGTTTTGAGTTCAGAAGGTGTTTTTGGAGAAAGTTAAGCAATACTGTCCTTGGCACAATGACACATTCACTGAGGAAAAGGAGCTGGAACAGCTGGGTAAGAGAAGGAAAACCAGATCACAGGAAGAGGGCAATGAACTCAGAGTTGCTGCAAGTGAAATTGCAGACAGAGGTTGGCAAAAATTAAACCCCTCTCTACTACAAGAGCAATCAGGCACTGCAAGAGGATCCCCAGAGAGTCTGCAGAGCTTCCATCCATGGGTGTTTTCAAATCTCAACTGGAAGAAGGTAAATACATTTTTCACAGCAGCAGTACCATGAGTGGCACGAGCAAAGAAGATTTTGGCACAGCAGGAGAGGACTAAGTGGTCCCTCTGATCCTACTCTTTCAGATTAAGGGTCCAGACTGAATAAAAAACATTGTGTTAGTCATTTCAGTGATAACTCAGTGTCTAGATAGGGCAGTGTATGTATCTCTTCCTTTTTTTGTTGCTTCTTTCCAGCCAGTCAAGTCACTATATTTCTAATGCTGACTTCAGGTTGCTGGGCTCTGATGATCTGGAAGGTGAATGGAAATCCTCAAGGATCCTAGAAAACAAAGAAAAAAAACAGGGAAAAGGATGAATTGTGGCCACCGTGTTGCTGCCTCAAGGGCAAGGGGGGAGAGAAATGCACAGTGGGGAAAGTGGGGAACAACAGTCACAAAACTGCCCTTTGGTGAACAACTGTAGGACCTTCCCTGCTTTTTTTAATCCTGGAAGTCATACATGCTGCAGAATTCAGGATAAGACAGGGAAATAACAAATACACAGAACCCTAAAAGGATTTGTAAACTGTGAAAAGCAAACTCACTTTCCTGGTGGGTAAAACACCAGGATAAATCAGTAAGGTTTTATATGGAGCATATAAATAGTTTGGTATTTCAGAATGTCATTCTGATGTTTGAGATGCAATTTATAACACTACCATCACATGGCTTTGAAGACAGGGACAAAATATATGGCACCTTTGCTTTTCATGTAGAAGAATATGAAAGAGGTTTCCATCTCCTTGTCTAATAACCCCTCATACAGCCAAAGTATTTTGCAGAGTGTTTTGGAATTGAGTATACAAATAATTCCTGCCAAGGAAGCGAATGAGGAATTGAAACAGTGAGGTAACTATTCATTTATCACAGGAGTGCCATTTTTCCTCCCTTTCAGCTGCATTTTATTTTCTGGTTATATACAAAGCACAAATATGATGGACAGGACAAAAATTGTGTTGGTCACCCATAGTAAGAGCCTCCTTGTTTGCAAAGAAACAGCATTTTAGCAGCATAGACTTCAACACTTCTCCCTTGGACAGGCATGATAACCCCTGGGATGTTTCCTACACCACCACCTTCATCCTGTCTGCAACAAACAGGATTTATTTTATTTATCATCCTGAACAGAAAATTAAGTGACTTACTAGGGAACAGGTGCTGTCTGTAAGCAGCAGATGATGAAACCCAAAAACATCTTCACTTGGGTTGCAAAATATTTATGTCTGTGGGAAACCTGGTGGGCAGCTGACAGCAGAATTACCTCTTTGCTAGCATTTTTGTAATGAGGGGTGGCTTTTTTTTTTTAGTTCCCCCCCTCATTAGTTCTGTTTTGGTCTGTTTGGCTACAATATTTTTACACTGTGGTTTTTGAGGGAGTTGGGTTGGGGTTTGTCTGGGTTTTTGTTTGTTTTCTGTTCTTTTTTTGTGTAGTGTTAAGAAGGGTAAACCAATGAGGCTGTTGTATATTCACTACATGTTTTTTGCTATTTTTCTGGGAATTAAAAATAGGATAAATATATAAATCTCCTACTCATGATAAAGCCACACTTGAGAGGAAACCAAGAAAGTCTAAAATGAGCCTCCTCAGCTGGGACATGACTCCCAGACACCCATTCCTCTGTGAGCAGGGTGAGTTAGATCCATCTGTCTCATGAAAGAGGGAGATAAGTCCTGAGTTTATCATCTGAAAGTCTGGTATTTAGCCTGTCTTTTCTGGAAAAATTATTCTGAAAAGTCTCCTAAAGGCAATCAGCTATGTTGTTCTCAACTACCAAGTCTCTCACTAATAATAAATCCAGATGTATGTCAAAGCAACTCACTGAAGAAATAAGTCAGGTCATAAGATAAAATAGGAATTGCCGTAATTTTAAGCCAAAGCTTAGAAACAAAGCCTTCCCCAAACCGAATAAACACAAGAGAATACTGCTATAGTGGCTCTTCCAGAATTAATTGCTATTTTTACTATCAACACAGCAATGGAAAGCTCTTGTTTTTGTCAAGTTTTCTAAATAACTGGAATTTCCTGCACAAGACTTATTTCCCAGCCTTTCAGGACATATTTGGCCACCAAAATTTGGGGTTCTGGTACCTCAGTATTACAGCTGATCAGCCAAGTTGCTATTTGTCACTTAACAAACCTGATTCTATACTATTTGTAGCAACTTCCAAAACTCAGAACAAAAAAAAACCAATCAGGGCACCTTAAATTCCTGTTCAGGGTATCAAGTGATCTCCAGCTGGCAACAAAAAGGCATTTTCAACTTGTTTTATAGTACTTTTGTAAACTATGACGCACACTGAGGTTCAGTATTTCTTTGAAATACAGGCAGTTGCTTGTATTCAAACACAAACATAGAATCATTAAAGCTGGAAAAGACATCCAAGATCATTAAGTCCAACCTCTGACAAAGGCACAATGCTGCTCACATCTGAATTCCAGAAAATTTCCACTTGAAGGAAAACCTGAAGGTTTTGACTTCCAAACAGGAAAAAAACCCCTGACAACATTTCTATGTTGGCACTTTCTGCAGAATGGAATTTTTGATCTGACCTAATCTCTTCTTCTATGACTCCTCAAGTTTTCTTTTTCCAGCTTTCTAAGGTCACATCATATCTATTCATTAACAAGCCCCATATTTTTCTGTCCTGTTGCTATAGTTTTTTTAAACACAGACATACAATTTGACTATTTATAAGCCTTTCCACATGTCAAAACCTGCATAAGCTGCCCAAGAGACATCAACACACCAATGCTTTAAAAACAAAACAAGCCAAGGAAATCATTCCGGCCTTTCTATGCCTTGGTGAAATAGGCCTTCCCGGGCTGTTGCAGGTCACCACAAGCCCCCCAGAAAAAAGCATATGTGGAATTGTATCCCCCTACAGACATCCTGAGAAGTGACTATAAAGCTTTTTAATTGGCCAGGCTGAAATAAGAGTATCCTGCAAGCCTTGAAATAAGCAACTGATGCTGTGGAAAGCAGTCAGGTTGAGACATGTGAAGGGCAGGTAAGGCACAGGAATTCAGGCTCATAAAGCTTTATTTTGCTTCAACCTAGGCTCTTGGTTTGTTAAGTGACTGCTTTACTTTGGTGTAAATAAGCTCTGTTAGTTGAGCCAGGAGGGAAATCGTGACTTTTTATAAGAGCAGCACCAAGAGAGGGTGGGTGACATTTTGCCTGCTGATTCATTGCGGCTCATTGCACTTGTATGGAGTGAGAGGCACAGCTAAATTTGCCTCTGCTTGTCAGAGATGAAAATATGAGTTTTCCATCTCCATTTGCCACAAAGGCCGCTCAGTTTGTTCCCAAATAAGTGACTTTTTGCCAACCATTGTGAAGACACTTCACTCGGGATGCTTTCAGGGAGAGCTACAAAACACACGTGTGCTCTGTAACTGGTACACAAGGCAAATGCCTGAGGGGTGAGACATCAAATTTCAACCCCAGCTCTTGACCTAATTCCCAAGTATCTACCACAAAAAGGAAGGAAATAACAAATAGAAAAGCAAAGAAAAAACTAATCATACTCTCAAGAGCAGAAGCAACTTTGTCACAGAAGTGTCCCCAGCCACTCAGATAAAAAGCTGCTGTTTTACTTTCTGGGCAACTTGACAAGACTACAAAGGCAGTGCTTGTTATCTATTGTTGAATGAAGAGCAGTATTAAAGTCCCAGACATACAGGGGGATTTTCCAGCCAGTGCTATTTGCTCTCTGTTGTGAGGTTATAAGAAGCCATTCCAAAATTATGTCCGTGGGCACTGCCCCTCATTTGAACCATCTGAGCACAGTAGAGGATAAAACCAGAAAAGGGCTTTCTGCAAGGTGTTACTGCCTCTTGGGGGAATCAACTACAACTTTAAAAATCATAAACATATTTCACAGATAATTAGGGAAAAAAAACCAAGTCACCACAAAACCAGACAAAGATCCATAGCTAAGGAGGGTTAGGGGATTTCCTCATTACAATATGGTGTTTGTGGAGTAGTAACACACTGGAAATACAGTGTTGAAAATTGCTGTAGTTCCACAGGTATTCTAACGATTCCCAGAGAAATGACAGTTCTAATTACATGCAAGATAAATATTAAGTAACCCCTAGGAACAGGCATAAAAGAGCATCCTGGGGATAAAAAAATACTTTAAAAAAATCTAAAAAACCAGATTGTGATAGAATGATCAAACTGCACTACTGTCTGAGTTTTACAGCAAACTAATTAACGAGGACTTCAGGAAACAAAGGTACATTAGGAAAATGGACTACCCATTTTTTTAAGGTGGTCACTGTATGAAGGGATAGGATCAGCTGGCCAAAGTTGCTCTGGATAAAGTAATGCTGCCTTATGCAAAGAGGAGCCAAGTCACCACATGACATTTTCAGAACTCAAAATTGAAAAACAACTGAAAATATGCAGACTAAGGCTGATAAAAACTAGACTGCATTAGAAGAACAGAGACTGAAGGACTTCCAAGATCACTGTAGAAGTCACATCCTGGAGTTTGGTAATCAAACCCCATGATGAATGGGAAGGAACACAAACTATTCACTCAAGTCCTGCTTTTCACAAAAAAAGTCGCTAAAACCCTGCTTTTGTTGATAAACTTTGACAGAAACTCATACCCCCTAGTAAACACTGTTCAGCTAATTTACCCAAACAATTCTACTTGTTTATAGGAACAATGGAAAGCTCATATTTTAAAACTAGAACTTTTCTGAGGTGTGAGAAGTGTCCATTTCTTTCTTCTCTGTGAAGACTTTTGCAGTAGCAGATTTACTAGATCAACCCCTCTCAACAATAGGCACTCTAGGTTTAAGTTCACAACAGACAGATCTGATATTTCTGGAAACATTACTTTATATCACATCATCATCAGGAAGCAAGTATCTAACTATTCAGGAACTGAGCTAATGTGTGCTGGTGTTTCTAAATACATCAGTAGAATTTAAAGCCAGACACAGCATTTTGATTTAGCTGAATGTCAGTGAAATTACCACTGACCATCAAATTTCTGTGATTTCTAAAGCCTCCCCAATCCTCTAATTTATTTATTTTTATTCTGTTGTTAGTAATTAAGACTAGACAGCTGAATTGATCCATGACAGGTCATTCCACATGCAAAGACATTACACTGACTGCAATTTCTCCTTAGTTCATCATTAGGATGCAGACTCTTATGCCAAATTTGAGCACACCTCACCATATCTCCCTGTTTGTCTTAAAAATGGTGCTGTAACCAGCAGAAAACTCTTCCCCTGAGGGAAAACCACTGGTTTCCACACATCAGGGACTCACCACTTCAACACCTCCTGCAGATTTTCTTCCTCCAGAACAGCAAACACACAACTACGACAACAGTTACGATCACAGCAATAATCAGCAGCCAAAGTAATGAGGGTCCCTCTTCTGTGAAAACAAAAGAAAAACCACACCAAATGAAGCTGGTTTATAAAGAAAATAAACAAAGAGAGCCAAGAGGATGTCTGGTTAATGACAATGCTTCCTCTGATACTGTGAAAAGCACTGCTAAGATACACAAAAGCAGCAATTGCTCAAAACAGAGAGTGAATTTATGAATCCTTAAGGGCAAAACCACTTGCCTGCAGAAAATGTGAGAAGATGTTCTCATGTTCAACCATGGCCAAGGAAACTGCCATTCCCCCCCTCGATACAGCGCTTGCCATGGGCACATAAGCACAACTTCACACAAGTCTTAATGCTTTCAGAGGAGTTTGTTTGTTCACCCAGAATTTTATCTTTTTGTTTGTAAAATATAAGTTATTCTTTTTACCTTTAAACAATTATCACTGTTGAAAAGGCTGCATTAACCTTCAGAAGAGAAGACAGGCCTGCAAATAGCTCTACCCAACACTTAAGCATAAATTCCTCCCTGGTTAACCACTTTAAACAGCCATTAATCAAAAATGTTAATACAAAGGCCCAGTTCACTGACATTACCTGGAAAACTTTATGAAATAAAATGTATTTGGATCAAGCCAACACTATTCTGTCTTTTAACAAAGCTAGGTGGAACTATTCATTGGAATTTATCATCCTCTAAAATATAATACTGCTAAAATAACAAGCTGTCAGCTGATTTTTCATTCTCCTAGCAAGAAAAAACAGTCTTAGTTTCCTGCTTTGAGATACATATTTTCTTTTCAAAAGGCCAAAACAAAAGAATATTGGTATTCAGACAGGAGAAACATTTAGCATGCTTTTTCAATTAGTATAATTCAGAATTAAGAACTGATTTGAAGGTTAAGTTTTAGAGTGAAGACATTAATTCAGATCTTGCTCTGTACTATTATTCCTGTAACAATCACTTCTTGAGCATCTGATTTCAGAATTAACCCACATTTATGTGCTGCTTTTCCTGTCTTCGTAATTCATCAGTGGTCTCCCCTTTAAGGCTCTGGATTTGGAGACACGTGAATTTTAAATATCCCAAGTCAAAGCTTCTGTATGAACTAAAAATGGTAATTCAGCTTTTAATGTTTCTCTTTCTCACCTGCAGAACTGGGGTGAAAGTCTTTCCAGCAGAACAGAATGTTGGAAGAAGAAATAAAAATACTACAAGGTATTCAGATGTTTCATGTATTTAAGATGTCTGCATAAACCCAACACAAGCATCTTCAACTGGCTGCCTCCCTGTATGCCTGGAAATACTATTCTTTCCTCACCATGACTGTTCCTTCTTTCCTGCATCTCTAGTGCGAAGTTCTTCTGCTGTGTTCTCCCAGAAATCAATAAAGTTATGTTGATTTACACTGGCTGAAGCTCTGGCTCTTTTCTAAACACTTTAAATTAAAAATACACGTTAAAACACAACAAAGCATGTGGTAAGTTGAAGCCAAGCTTTTGTTTCAGAGATAGTTTGTTACAAATTTCAGAACTCCCACTTCTGTGTCCATTAAGCTACCCATGGAGTTTTTACTTCACCTGGATAGATATCATTTATATTTATTTTTAGGCTGTTAAATTATGAAGGCATGCATGAAAATTGTAGTTTGACTTGCTGCAAAACACATGGTGCCTCTAAAACCCATGGTTTGCCTTTTTTCCCCTCCTCTTTGATAGGACTCCAGTATGTCACTGTCTCAAAGACAGCAACAAATGCAAATAGGATTTTATTTCTTCTTGCTTGACATACACACATCTCACCCCCTCCTCTTCCCAGCAGATTCCTACCCAAACATGGAGGCCAAGAGAACACTGACAAGGTGCTTTCACTGTTCACCCACCTCCGTTAATTCTCACGGGCAATTCCCTTGTTTCCTTTGTGTTGTTCACTCTGCAGATCAAGTCCTGGGCCCTGATCCTCTTGGGGTTGGAGACGTGCAGTGTGCTGGTGATGGACACCACCCCACTGGCGTGACTGACCACCTCCTGTGTAGGAGCAGAATCGAACAAGTCGTTCCAGGTGATGGTGGGCTCTGGGAAGCCAACAGCACTACAGACGGCTACCAAGTGACCTTCAGAAATGTTGTAGTGGACAGATGCATTGAGACCTTCCAACATACAAATGAGACAATCCATCACCACAATGAGCTCCTACTCACAGGCAGTAACAGCAGTCTGACCATCACGAACCAGAGCAAAGCTTACTGCATTCACACTGAGCCCAAAGAAATGCTCACTGGGTCAGGTTCCCTCCAGGACTCAGAACTCCTTCCCTTATACTCAAGTTATATGCCCCAAACATTTCACTTAATCTAAAACCCAGGTATTAAAATAATCTGTTCAGTAAAACCATTTCTTGGTCCCATCTGATAATTCCCTACCAATATGGCAGAGCTCACAGCACCGGAGTTGTTGCTGGCACTGAGAGGAAACAGCAACAGGCAATGTTGGTTTGCCCAAGTTCCATCTGGGACTGCCCAAGGGCTTACAAAGATCCCACTCCTTGCTTTTTAGCTGCTAATCAAGGAATAACAACCAAGAGCCAAACCCACCACAACAGTCTTGAGTATGACCCCCAGAGTGTTGCTCACAGCAGTAATGCTCTGTTTCTACATTCTGTTCCACCAAGGGATGCTCCTATTCCTGCAGTTCCTGAATCTGCTCCAGGAAGTACTGTGGGTGAGAAAATACCTCTTATTCCACCAGAAACATATCCCTGCCGGGAACCTCACCAAAGACACTCAGGCAGGTACGTCCAGAGACGGAGCCTGAGGGAAAAGTATTGAAGAGACACAGGTAACATCCTGAATCATCCATTGTAGCGTCCCAAAAAGTGATGCTTGTCTCGTTGAGTTCCAGACTTGTGAAATTCATTCGGTCTTGATAGGACTTGTGAATCCTCAATCCTTTCAGTTTACTGTATGTAGCTATATTCTTAAGTGATTTTTCAGAGCCCTTTTGCCACGTCACTTGCACAACATCCATGGGCTCTGTCAGGGCACAGCTCAGAGGGGCATTGTCACCCACCCTCACTTGAATTTCTTCAGCCTGTGGAACCACTGCAGTGACATAAAATAGGGAAAGGGGCAGATATCACACATATTCAGAAGCCTAATGCTGATTCTAAGGCCTGGATTACCCACAGACACAACAACTCCTCCAATTACATTCCTCCACCAAAGAGTCCTTCTCTTCAGTACTCCTAGAAATCAGACAGTTTACATTGCCTGAGGCTCTGGCTTTCTTCTAAACTGTTTAAATGCAAAAAGACTTACCCTATTTCTATACCCATCCCTGCAGACTTCCTTCTCCAGTTTCACTAAATCAGCTCCTGCCTTCCCATTCATCACATACCCAATTTTTGTTTCCTAAGAGCTAGAGGAAGACTGAGTGCATCAGGGAAGTACACACCAAGCCATTCTCAGAGGAGTAAACATGGCTTAAGAAGAGTTTCCGGACCACGTAGTTTTAGAGTTCACAGTACATTTGAGATGGAGAGAAAGAAAACTAGAGATTTGTTCCTTAGGGAAGGCTCCACGATGGGAAACTGAACTCAGGTGAACAGTAGTGTCCAGTGTCATCATATTTATGGGATGCTGCCATCCCTAAATGCTACTCTGGGAGGTTTTACATCACACCTGCCAGCACCATATCTCTGCCTCAGCATGTATCTAACAACATCAGCAATCTGGATTTCAGCTACTTTTCTCTCTTACTCTGACGAAGCCTCAGGAATCTGAAACCACTTCCCCAACAATTTTCAAGCAGACTTCAGGAAATTCAACTTACCCTTCGCCTTTCCAAGCCCAGAACATGCCAGACACAAAACCAGAAATCGGAAAGTCATTTTGGAAGAGGAAATCTGCTTCACCTGACGGAAGACAAGGAGAGATGAGTGACTCAATGACAGACCCTCTTCTAGTGTTATCGTGTCCTCAGGGTGCAAAAATTAACAGTAGGTTTGTCATGTGAGAAAAAAATTTGGGGTTAGACACGAGATTTGACAGGTCTCATTGCCCTGTTCCCTCGGGTGATATTGCCACAACATAACCGAATTGCAGACCTGACTGAAGCTGGCATGATATCCAAGCAGAAACATTATTTTGCACAAAATCTCTGTAACACACTCCACCCACTGCTGAGGTTTTCTGCCAATGCCTGCAAAAACAGCTGATGCATCTGGGGAGCATCTTCTGTCAAGAAATAAGGAAATCTCAACCTTTTAAAGATTTTCACAACATGCAAAAAACAGAAGAGAAAATTGACTGCAAAGCATTTTCTGTGTTACACCGATTAAGAATGGAAGGCTGATGAACAAATAAACGAAGGACAGGAAGAAAAAGTAAGTATTTAAAACAAATTCCCAGTGCACATAATGCTTACACAGACAACCAGTAGCCTGCCTTTAAATTCTGAACACATTATGCTAAAATCAGTCCTGATGCAACTCTCTAGTTACCAAGCACAAAGAGAGATCAAGTTCTGATGCGTAAAAATCAGGAAACAAGGATCCATCAGCAACAAGCCCAATGAAGAATTTGCCAGTGTAGCCAGATATTTAAGCAATAAGAAATTCAGACAGATATTCCAAAAAACAAGCAGAAATCAAGGGCCAGCAAGCAGAAAACACCGAGTTAAAGAAGTGTTTATAAAGCAGTGAAAGACGTGTCACACCTGCAGGCAAGTAGAGTTTTCAACTCCAGCCTTCTGTGCGTCACCGCTTTGGGACCCGTTAAAGCCCTTAATGCACCATCACGCACACACGGGGTAGACAAAAGGTTTCACACCATGAGAAACTAGGCTACACCGTGTTTGGTGGCTATATGGGCCACCAAAAAAAAGTCCCTAGGGTTACAAGTCCAATCATCAGTAAAAAAAACAACCAAACAAAAAAAACCCCAAACCCCACAAAAAAACCACACAAACACCCCCCCAACACCCACAAACTCACAAACAAAAAAAAACCAAAAACAAACAAACAAACAAAAAAACCCAAAAAACCCCCAAAGAAAACAACCAACGAAAAAAACAACCCCACAAAACATCAGAAGAAAGGGAAAAAAGGCGTTAAAGACTGAAACTGCGGCAAGTAAAGTGCGAATCTTTCAATCAATCCTTCACTGTGCCTGCCCTTCCCGACCCGCACCTCGGAGGGCTCCCGAGCCACCTCCTGTGCCCCTCGCCGTCCAAACCGCTCCTCCGCCGCTTCCTTTCCGAAAACTTTCAGAAAGTTTCATTCCGAAATTCCTTCAACTTTAAAGAAAAACTTTTATCCTTCTGGAGAACCGGCCCCAGTAACTGCTCGGCGTCACAGGCTCAGAAGGGCGGCTGCGGCAGGAGCCGGGCACCGTCCCGGTCAGGAATGACGGAGAAAGGAGGCGCGGGCACCTCTCCAGCATCTGGGAACGGCCCGGAGCCGCTTCTGCAGCCGAACCTCCCCCGGGGGAGCCTCTCCGGGCCCGGCCGGGGCCCGGCTCGGGGCCATCGGGCTCCGGAGGCTCCAGCCTTCCAGTCCCGCTCCCGGGACACGTCCAAACCGCTCCTCCGCCGCTTCCTTTCCGAAAACTTTCAGAAAGTTTCATTCCGAAATTCCTTCAACTTTAAAGAAAAACTTTTACAGAGCCGGGAGAACCGCCTCCGGGATGCATAATCGCGCTGCTGCTGGAAATCAGTAGTGTAAACCTGAACTTCAAAGGAAGTTAAAGCACTTCCTCCCCGGTTTCTGTTCAAGGGTAGCGTCAGTCACACCAAAAATGAATTTTAATTAAAGACATCTGTGCTGTCATAAAACACTCAAACCAGAATCCAATAGCAGAATATAATGTAATAATGACAACAAATGATAATAATTTATAATAATGGCCAAGAGCTGTGACATTCACCATCCACACACTGGACTGTATATTCTTAGTGTTCCAAAAAGCATTTGGGATTTTTTTCAGATCAGAACCCTTTCTGGAACTTATTTATTGTAAGGCTTCACTGGAAGTCACACAACAACATACTCAAGGTTTTGCCAAACCTGGTAAATTATTTCTTTCTTAATTACCACAAAAATAATAAGAACTGCAGGTCACTAACTCAGCAATAGTCAACAACAAAATGTTGTTAATACACCAAGGCTCCACCTCTCTTCTGAATCCTCATCCCAAATAAACAAACACCACCTGTTTTTTTCAGAATTCTCATCCCAGATAAACACCACCTGGTTTTTCTGATGTTAGGCTGTAGGAAATTAGCAGAAAAAATTCAGTGAAAGAAGGTACTGAAAGGGAAGGACATTTTATTACACAAACTCTCTAGGCAAGTTGATTTCATACCCAGTTTCATACTCACAAGCCGTGGGCACTGAAGGGGTCTGGCCTGGATCTTTCAAGTTCCTCTTCATGGGTGATAAAGAAAGTTATCTCTATAACCTTTTTTATCATTGGGAGTGGTCTTTAGCTGCTACCTTCCTGTTGGGTGGAGAGGAAAAGGGGCAGCAGGAGTGGTGCAGGGCAATCTCTGCCATCTTCCTGTTGTTACACTACACAATCTTCCAGTGACAAGTTTTCTCTGTTGTAGTTTTATCAGGCTTGACAGAAGCCACCCATTTCCCAGAGTGATTGATTAGCAACAGCATCCTTAGCAGTCAATACAGGACATTCAGTGTCTGCTGTTTCTCCAGCTGCTTTCACACACACTGTTTATACTTTCATACACACACATGTTTATATGCTGTTCATACCAGATGCAATATTTATCTTACAAGGCCTTGGAAGGTCTACTGATTTAAACCATCACTGCTCATGGGAACATCAGAACTGGCACAATTGCAAGCCCCTGCCAAAATTAATTGACAAAAGATGCCCAGGTAGTGGCCAAGAGCCCACATAAGCCTAGAAACACTTTCTCATTTAAGACACAGATGTGTGAGAATATTTGGAACACGGCTACTAAGCTGTCCTAAGGAACAGAGTGGTGTTTGAACCTTCCCCAAAGCCATCCCGGGCTCCCCCTGTGTTAGCTTTGCCTCTTCCGCTGCTCTCAGTACCTTCTGACCTGTGAAAACAGAAAGCTCCTGCTGCCCCCAACAGGTCTAAATTATTCCCGGAGTCTGGAGCTCGGGGCAGTGTCTCTTCCCGATGGATACAGCTGTCCTTGGGGACATCTTCTCCACCACTGTGCTGGATTTAGTGCAGCCCTTTCCCTGCCAACTAACAAACCAGAGCCACTACGCTTTCCAGCAAGATTTCAACACTACCACTACCTTTATTCAACATTTCCCTCTGTCTCCCCGGATCAAGAGGTAGGTCTTGAGTCACTTAACTTTCACTCTGCCAGCTTTCCCTTTTTTGTTCCTTCTGAAGCAGGTCAGATCTCCAGCAACCCACTCGTTGTTTGAGACTGATGTACCTATACCCTTCACATGCTTTTTTTAAGGAGAAAAATACATTGGCAAGTCTCCTGTGCTCACCTGCCTTCACTGTAGTTGAGGGCATTTCAGAGGGAACCCCAGAGAGAGTGTTAAATATCTTGAAGTTTGAGATCCTGCCAGTTTCTCCAGTGCCACCTGCAGAGCATTTCCCAGCAGAGAAAGGTACCCACGTGGGTAGGGCTACAAGCACAAAGAAGTTCTGGGGTCCCTTTCAGTGTCAGGAAAGGCATGGATACATTTTGCATTTGGATTGGCTTTCCACCTCCAGAAGAGCTGTGTAAAATGGAAGAGACCTGAATTTAAACTTTGCCAAAAAAGCAGGTTTGGTATTAAATGGACTTAACAGGAGTAGGTGTTGCCTGCACATTTTCTCTTTACAATTTCCATTTCCATGAAAAAAGTTAGCTTTGAAAAGCAATAGTTAAACTCACTCGTCTCTTCTTTTGTTGTGTTTGTACAAATACACTGTTGGCTTCCAATCAGAGCCACACCTGAAGGTCACACACATATCCCACGGAAAAAAACACAATAATTTCACTGAAAAAAATTATATTAATGAGCATTTCGTCTCAGGAAACTCTCGTTTGAGGAATGCCAAGTTGAAGACCTCTTTGTAACCTGCAACACGATGGATTTCAAGGCAAGCTGAATCAGCACATGATTTTCGGGATGCAAGGAATGGCTGTCTTCTAAATGCTGAGCAACTCTTGGTTAAAATATCACTCGAGATTGAGTTCTAAAGGTCCCTCTAGCACTGCACCTTCTTTTATCCATCACCAGCGTGGAAAACAGACTTGGGAACATGTCCATATTCCCTTCCCTGCTCCTTTGCAAGAGCTCTTTCTCCAGGGGAGCAAGGAAGGACTGACACCCAGTGCCCAGTTCCTTCTGTCAGTGCCTTTCAACACCTTCCCTTCCAGAGACCACAGTCTGTGTCTGCTGCACGAGGATGCTCACAGAATCATCTCATCCTGGAACGACTTTGGATGTGATGATTGTCGTTTCTGGATACCTGGAGTAGGGTTGCTGGACACCAAAGCACTGTTTGGAAGTCCAAAGAGAGAAAACACAGCGCTGGTGAGTTACTATGTTAATGAAAGGCTCACTGGATGCGTTTTCCCGTCCGCTGGTGATCTCTCCCACTAGAGGGAACTCTGAGGCCACCAAAGACAGGGCTCTGTGCTGAGGGTGCACCTCGACACGAGCTGTGAGAGGAGCCTTTGCAAATACACTGAGGGCACATCTCTGTCACACGACGTGTAAACCACACAAAGAGCTGGAAGGGGACTTTTCCAGCTCCATCCCTCAAAAACATAACTTCTTTTTTTAAAAAATACTTACTGTTTTAACTTGGTATACAAGGAAAAACAAGTACCAAAAAAAAAAAGACAAGAACAAAAAAAAAAAAAATCAAAACCCCCCCAAAACCCCCAAACAAACAAAAAAATACCCAAAACAAATAAAACAAAAGAAAACCCCAACAAACAAACCAGCCCCCAAAAAAGTAAAAAAAGAACTTGGTGTAGTTCTGTGGGTCAAGGGGACCTGCTTCTCCAGGAGGGCTGTCAGTGCTTAGTGGGAATCCTGTGGGAATACTGGGGAGGAGCAGGATGTTGGCTTGGGAACGGCACACTGCTCTCCCATCAAGTATCCTGAGCCAGTCTCACACCAGGAATGTTTCTTTGCAGCCTGTGGGAGAGAGGGGTGATGATGGGGAGAGTTAATCTTGGGAATCCTGGGATCAGTTTTGGGCCTCTCGCTCCAAGAAGGACATGGAGGGGCTGGAGCGTGTCCAGGGAAGGGAATGGACTTGGGAAAGGGGTTGGAGCACCAGGAGCTGCTGAGGGAACTGGGGGGGCTCAGCCTGGAGAAAAGGAGGCTCAGGGAGGATCTTCTGGCTCTGCAACTCCCTGACAGGAGGGGGGAGCCGGGGGGGGGTTGGGCTCTGCTCCCAGGGAACAAGGGACAGGAGGAGAGGGAATGACCTCAAGTTGTGCCAGGGGAGGTTCAAGTTGGATGTGAAGGAAAATTTCTTCATGGAAAGGGCTGTCCAGCCCTGGAACAGGCTGGTAGTCCCCCTCCCTAGAGGATTTAACAGCCATGTGGATGTGGCACTTGGGGACATGAATTCGAGTGGGCTTGGCAGTGCTGGGGAATGCTTGGACTTGATGATCTCAGAGGGTTTTTCCAACCTTAGTGATTCTGTGTGTCTAGGAAACATTAAGAATAAAAAACAGGGAGGCCAAAGAAAAGCACTGCCAGGCCATGGCAGGGCAGGGAAGTGCTGGACCAGCATCCCTGCAATGCAGCAGAGGGATGCCAGACAAGGATCTTCCACCTGTTGCAGCAGGTACAAGAGAAACAAAAGTGCCTTAAATCAAAGAACCTGATCCGATCCGTTTGGAAGCTCTGCAGGAATTGCCACACAGGGTCAGTTCCTCGAAGTCCTCCATGGCTCTTTTCCTCTGTTTTCTGAGTCACCTCCCTCACCCCAGGCTACTATCAGACGCTTTAGATAAAGATGTGAGAAACCAAATCAATTATGTTCAGGCACGAAAAGTGTTTATTTTGCCCCTGTTGATTTTCTGTCACTCTGAGGTTTGCCCTCTCTGCAAGGCTGGATGGATGCATCCCTGTGGTGGCAGAAGCAGCACTGGATCCCCACTGCTCTGCTCCAGAGGATGCCCTCCTTCTTCCCTGAGGCAGGAATGATGTTTGCTGCTTCACAGCTCTTCACCCAGTGATGCTGGGCACAGCTCCTGCTCCTTCTTAACCCACAGAAGTCATTTTACAAGCTTTTTATATAAAAAAA